CACAGTTAATTAAAAAAAAAAATATGTCAACACTTGACACAAAATGTCTATGACAGTACTGATGTAAAAGAAATGATGCCTAAAAAAAGGGTGCTGGTACTGTACACCATTGCATACCACTAGAAAAAAGACTTGGTCTTTCATCTTCCACTGTAGGATGTAGAAACCAGGTTACATAATAGTTTAGCATCTTCCATTTTATACTGGGATACAGAGATGCGTGTAGCTTTCTTGAGTGTTTCTTTTTTCTATCCTTGGATGTATAAATAGCTAATTTTTATTTAGTCATTCCTCTACCTAGGAATGTATATGCATAGTGCAGTCTTATTTAGTCATTCCTCTACCTAGGAATGTATTTGCATAGTGCAGTCTTATTTAGTCATTCCTCTACCTAGGAATGAATATGCATAGTGCAGTCTTATTTAGTCATTCCTCTACCTAGGAATGTATATGCATAGTACAGTCTTATTTAGTCATTCCTCTACCTATGGATGTATATGCACAGTGCAGTCTTATTTAGTCATTCCTCTACCTCTGGATGTATATGCACAGTACAATTGTATTTAGTCTTTCTTTTCTATGTTAACCTTTGGTTCTGCATAGGAGTATTTTCTTTAAAAATAATTTGTTTGGTCTCCACAATGAAGCATGGATGCAATATCCACTGCTAACTCTGGGAACAGTAGATGTTGAGTCCCCAGAATCTTCCACTGTGTGACTCTCATACCACAGTTTAAAATATGACAAGAACTGTCTTTTTCTCAACATAAAAAAATTACAGTACTCAAGGGGTCTAAAAAGATGCTGATCGATCTCACCACAAAGTGTTTTTTTTACAGTAGTGATGAAAAAGAAAGAAATGCCTTAAAAAAGTGAAATTACACAGTACCACTAGAAAAAATAAGCCATGAAAACATGCCTACATACACACAGAGAGAACCACAGAATCATACACACACAAGACCTACATAATCATACACACACAGAGACCTACACAATCATACACACACAGAGACCTACACCATCATACACACTGAGACCCACACAGTCATACACTCCCCATCGATGTCACAAACACACAGATCGCCTCAAACTGGACCAACATTAAATGTTTGTGGACGAAAGTGGAACTCTGCCAGAAAGAAGTCTTTTGGAACACAACATATTTCTCTGATATTCTCTATCACACAGATGCTCCTTAGGTTTGTAACTTATAACAACATCATCCTTCGGTCTTTTAGCTCTGTGAGTGGTCATAAACATTTCTGGTCATACCATAATTGTCTGTCTTGTGCTGGTCTCTTTAAATCCATGTACGTTTGTGATGCCAGATTTGTTCAAGCCAGGTTTATCAATGTCTTTGATCTACCCCCCCACATCCCCCTTCCTCCTCTATTCTCAAGCGTGTCCTCCGTGCTGTGCCCGATTGGTGTTTCTTCATTTCTGTGAATGTGACCAAACCAGGAGAATCTAAAATAGCCTTGAGTAAACAAATTCAACATACAGCCCTAGGGGAATTTCCCAACAGAATCTGAAAAGATATATTTATTTACAGGGCGTTAGTTTAGTTGAGTGAGACTCAACCATAGATTATTGAAGTTTGCGGAAGCTTCAGCTATCAACCAGATTAATCCAGATTTATGCAGACAGAAAGACATGCTTTTCAACTTGGGGTTACCATGGTGAAACAGACTATGAATGTAGTCGATTTTGTGTTTCAGTTCGAAGGATTCATTTACTTGCTTTATGTTAATCAATTGTTACTGTAGTATGCACCTGACGAGATACATTCAAATATGCCAGGCAATCATTTGTACAATATATTGTTTGTGGTTTTTTGTGTGTGTGTGTGTTCAAATTCACAAGAGGGAAACATTGAACAGAAATAATTTACAAATTAAACTGTTTAACTTGTATTTACATACAACCGTAAAGTGTACTCAGATCAATAGAAGTGTGACAAATCTGTAGTTGAGCTAGTCTTGTGTTAATAAACAAGTATTCCATACCTGCGAGTTGGGTAAATGACCTCCTGACTGTCATGTGACCCCTGCCGAGAGTGACCGGACTGACCACCAGAGTGACCCGAGTAGTAGGAACCTTCTAGACTGTCAGTTGAAGAGTACCTCCTGTGTGAGCTGCCTCGGAGAGACAGGTCCGGGGTGCTGCTGTAGACGCTGTGGTTTTGATCTTTGACTTGTTCTTGGCCTTTGTTGAATGCTAGTGCACTGTTGTACTGGTTCACAGACATGTTGGAGCAAACATCAGAAGCTGTTTCTTCTAAACTGTCAGAATAATCTGGAGAGGGGGGGGGGAGATAATGCCAGATATGAGAGACATACTGACATTGCATCAAAGTGATAAGTTTGCTTAAAGAATTGTTTTCACTTCAAATTCAAGAACTTCTGGCTACAAATCCACGTAAGGACACTAGTTTCCTGATGAATTTTATTAGGGCATTACAGCTAGGTCTGCAGCTGTGGCTTCCGTGTTGTTAACATGTTTCATAATTCTGAAATATTCAGTTCAATTCAAGCTGTAGATGATCTGGGAGCAGACTGCTTTGTGTTATTTTGATGATGGTTTGCAGCACCAATTATTCATAAAATGAAAGTAAAATTGTCTAATAAACAGCAACAAAAACAACAGGTTGGTTCTGCAGTGTCTTGTAAAGGATAAACTAGTAAAGTCAAAGTAAAGTAAAGGACCCTTTTCCCCGCCTTCAGATGTAGTGGGTATACAGGGCTAGACCTATTTTATAGACCAATCAGCAATTGGTGGTTTTTGTGGTTAGCATCACTCAAGGCTGGGTCCACTTGGGAGCAAAAATAAACATCTGGCTCTGTCAGGACTTGAACCCATGATCTTCAGATCCACAGGTGAGCATCTAGCCACTAGACCATGACAGCTCCTGATATACAACAAAATCTGTTTTATTTGTTGCTTTACATTTGTGATCTGTGTCAGGACACTTTTTTCAGAATAGACACTTTTTTTTTTTTTTTTTTTTTGGTTTGATCTGTGTGTGACTATTTCTATGACGACTTTTGTCTGGACACTATTTTCAGAATAGTTTTTTTGTTTTGTTTTGTGTGTGACTATTTCTATGACGATTTTTGTCTGGACACTATTTTCCAGATGTTTGTTTTATTATCAAGACAACTTTAGGATGACTTCTGTCAAAACACTATTTCCAGGAAAATTGTCTTCATAATAATATGTTGTGCACAATTTTTTTTCAGAGTACTATACGCTTTAAAATGTTATCACACCATGATCTGCATTATGAATTTCATCAGAGCACTATTTATATGATGATTTTTGTTATGACTCATGTCAGTAAAGACCCAACAAACTGAACATTACTTTGTGACTGTTTTGTGCTGCCCCAGAATAACTGTGCCATATGCTGTTACAGCTCAACTGGGTCTCCATGCATTTGTTCCTGTGTGATTCTCACCCTTGAGATGTTAATCCTACAGGCTGAAGTCCTTGAAGGGAAGACTTTCCTTTATTGCCTTTATCGTACCACATTTGTGTTGTTGGCAGGGGGATCTTTGAGTCTGAGGATTTATGGCCGCATGCCTAGTGCAGTCACCACGAGGATTTTATTTTGCCCCCGACAGAAAAAATCCCCAGCCTTACTGAGGATTCAAACCCGGGTATCCTGCTTGAGAACCCAGCATTCTAAAAGTTCAGCCAGCGGCTCCAAGGGAAAATTACAAACACAAAACAACAAAAATAAAACTACAATTTATATAATTATTTTTGTCAGAACTGTATGTTGTTTTTCAGGTGCAGGCTAGGACAGGTGCAGGCTAGGACAGGTGCAGGCTGGGACAGGTACAGGCTGGGACAGGGGCAGGCTGGGGCAGGTGCAGGCTGGGACAGGTGCAGGCTGGGACAGGTGCAGGCTGGGACAGGTGAGGGCTAGGACAGATGCAGGCTGGGACAGGTGCAGGCTGGGACAGGTGCAGGCTGGGACAGGTGAGGGCTAGGACAGGTGCAGGCTAGACAGGTGAGGGCTAGGACAGGTGAGGGCTAGGACAGGTGAGGGCTAGGACAGATGCAGGCTAGGACAGGTGCAGGCTAGGACAGGTGCAGGCTGGGACAGGTGAGGGCTAGGACAGGTGCAGGCTAGGACAGGTGAGGGCTAGGACAGGTGCAGGCTGGGACAGGTGCAGGCTAGGACAGGTGCAGGATAGGACAGGTGAGGGCTAGGACAGGTGCAGGCTGGGACAGGTGCAGGCTAGGACAGGTGCAGGCTAGGACAGGTGAGGGCTAGGACAGGTGCAGGCTAGGACAGGTGAGGGCTAGGACAGGTGCAGGCTGGGACAGGTGAGGGCTAGGACAGGTGCAGGCTGGGACAGGTGCAGGCTAGGACAGGTGCAGGCTAGGACAGGTGAGGGCTAGGACAGGTGCAGGCTAGGACAGGTGCAGGCTAGGACAGGTGAGGGCTAGGACAGGTGCAGGCTAGGACAGGTGCAGGCTGGGACAGGTGAGGGCTAGGACAGGTGAGGGCTAGGACAGGCAGGCATGACAGACAATCCTGATAAAACTAGGTTGACCAGACAGAGGGAGCCGCTGTGGTGTTTTGCTAGATGTTTTGCTAGATGTTTTGCTAGATGTTTTGCTAGATGTTTTGCTAGATGCTCGCCTGAGATCTGAAGGTCTGACGGAGCAGGACTTTTTGACGTTGTTGTAGAAATGACCTTGGCTTCTAGGTAGACCTAGCCTTAAATAGGTACCAGGTAAAGTCCTGAGAAGTAAAGGCGGGCGGTGTGAGGTTGACAATATCATCCATTGAGTGCTGATTGGTCCATCAAATATATGCTAGCACTATATGCCCAATTTTTTTTCCAGCTTGATGATTGCAATGCAAGGAATTTAACATTACAATGCAGGGAATTTAACATTTCAGTGAAAGAATTTAACAGTAATGAATATTTCAAACATAGGTAAGTTCCATAAGCTGTGCCACTCATCCAAGTCTTGCTCACCTCTGGTGCCTGGCTGGCCATAAGCACTCAGCCGAGATCCCTGAGGCCAATCTGAAGAGCTGCTGGATGAAGTCCTGGGGATGTATCTGCTCTCAGGGTGGAACTCTCGCTCTACACTCTCGGGTTCTTGGCGGTGATGAATTAGGGCAGAGAAGGCACTGAGGTCAAGTTGTGGCCCTTGGTAGTAACGATTTACAAACTTGCCCAGCCAATAAATTGTGACTGCAACCTGTAATGCAGTAAAGTATACATACACATGATCATCACCTGAAGCAAGATAAATCCATACACCAAAGTCACCTGAAAACTTCTGTAAAATTTACCCCATCAGACACATTAACTGGGCACACATTGAGGGGGGGGGGAGGGGGGGCAGGGGTGCTATGCTTTTGTCCTGACCATAATTTTCTAGAAGGGGTGGGGTCTTGAATAGCCGAATTGGTAATTAAGTGCAAATGATCATTACACTATAGTAGAACAGCTAATAACTTTTTCAAATAATATGAAATATATATATTTTTTTTTAAGTTTTAAAGAAAAAAAAAGACAATGCATCTGGAAGGAGGGACTTAGAAAGAGGAAAAATGTACACGCTGAAAGGAGGTTGAAACACCTGGCCATCATGCGGATAGACATGCCTGCTACACAAAGCTGTATTCTTTTTTCCTTCGCGATCATCAGCTGTAAACTCTAGTGGAAAGTTCTGGTTGTTTTATTCCACAACCTAAATGATGCGTGCACATGTATTTTACAGATCTGATGTTGTATGCAGACTGTTGGTTCCTTGCCTCTCAGGCAGATGCACTCTGACATCAAAGAAAGCTCCCCAATCAGTCAACTATTACGACGTGCTTGTTGAAAAGGCAGGTCTATTCTTGTTCCCCCCCCCCCCCACCCCACCCCCTCTGGTGAGGCCACTGAACCCACACAGGAAGCTAGCCAAAGCCTTATACAAGTATTCCGCTCTCCCCAAAAGACCTGCACGACAAGAACCGTTCCCTGATTTTCCATGACCTACATCACAGCTACTTGCTGCACTAACTGCTGTCACGGGAATGTCAGAGTGTGACCGGCGCCGATAGTTCCAGAGTCACTGGGTGCAGGGCCTGCCCACGACTGTCATAAGCTTCATGGGCTAGCGCCAGCTGGCACCGTATCTGCTCAGCAATCAATGTTCCGGTCTAGTACATCGCTGAGTTTGCCGGTCGCCGACCTCGACTAGCAGACGTGGAACTAGATCCAGGACACCGCGAGTGCTTGCTATTCGAGATCCATCGATACAGTCAAGGTAACAAGAAAACAAATGAACATATATTGATCTGCACTCACATGAGATAAAAGAACACAACATAAAAACGACATAATGGATTCAACCTTGTCATCTCTGAGAGCTTTTATCTTGGTTAAAGAAATATGTAAACTTTGATTCAGTCAGTAGTTGGGTTTATCTCCGCCACAACTAACATCTACAGACAGCGGCAGAGAGTGCCGCCAGTAAACTTTGATTCAGTCAGTAGTTGGGTTTATCTCCGCCACAACTAACATCTACAGACAGCGGCAGAGAGTGCCGCCAGTAAACTTTGATTCAGTCAGTAGTTGGGTTTATCTCCGCCACTACTAACATCTACAGACAGCGGCAGAGAGTGCCGCCAGTAAACTTTGATTCAGTCAGTAGTTGGGTTTATCTCCGCCACTACTAACATCTACAGACAGCGGCAGAGAGTGCCGCCAGTAAACTCTAAATGTCTTCTTTACAGACAACGCTAGTGGAATTAACATCATGATCATCGGCGTCAACATCACCACCAGTCAACATCACTAACTATACATAGGTTAGTTGCGTATCCTTTACAGGACGTTGCTGAACCAACTCCAGGAGCCCCTGGCTGTTATGTGGTTTCTCTAGGCAAATTTACGTCCAGTAGTTTGCCTTTGCTTCTGGACAGTCGGCCCCCTGATACCACTGTCGAAACCAACAAAAGGCACATGGCCCGCAGCTCGGATCGAACCCGGACCCCGGCATTACGAAGAGTTAGCGGCAGTAAGAGCTTCTATATTCTGTGTTGAACGTGGTAGATTCTTTTTTTTTTTTTTTTTTTTTCTGTTATAAATGGATGGATGATGGAAGAACACCGCCCTCATGACATCCCGCCAACATGGGACTGTCCCTGTGCCCCATGCATTTCGAGGCTAGCATGAATAAGTGACCTGTGCTCCTTGTAGTTCTGATCAGTGCCTAGCCCATCTACCAGGAACCGTGCCTTCATTTACAGACATTGTGAATTCCAAGGAAACACCGGCAACCCCCCCCCCCCCACCCACCCATGGTATGCCAACGTAGTGTTCATCTGAGAATTGACTTCACAGCACTCGGGACATTCCCATAAGCGCTCTGTCCTCATCTTCAGCAGCAAGCTGTTTGATTATATGTCCATCTTGTCTTGCCTCTGCATGTAGTGTGTCGACCATATCACCTGATCACTCCCGGCTGTGCCCTTCTCTCCATACCATAATGATGCATTCGCGTCTCCGCACTGTTGACCTGCTGCCAAACGACTTTGACCACATCTACTTTGGAATGCATAAATGCATCATTCCTAGATGCAGAACCAGCCAGTGTGTCTGTCTATTTATTTCCCAACAGTCCTGCATGACTCGCCGAAAATATACATTAAACAGTAACTACCTGGGACCTCTGAAGCGATGCTTGCCACTCTGCCTGTCGCCCTCTTTGTTAACATGCTCTGCGAGTCGGTTACAAGCACGTTTAGAACCTAAATACAATCACGACATGCGTGTTCAGTTGATTCTCAAGCCAGCTGAAGTGTTGTTGTCAAGAAGCTGTCTTTGAGCTCTCGAACATTCGAATACTTTCTTCTCCGTCTTGCACTGAGCACTTCTGTAACACGAAGTTCAAAAGCCTCATGTCTCGCATAGTAGGTTAGTTGCGTATCCTTTACAGGACGTTGCAGAACCAATCCCACCAGTAGTTCACCATTGCCTCTGGACGGTCGGCTTTCTTGATACCACTGTCGAAACCATCGCAAGGCGCATGGCCCGCAGCTGGGATCGAACCCGGCATCCCGGCATTACGAAGTGTTCGCATCGACTTAGCCACAGAGCCGACGTCTCTCATATACTATTTATTAAATAGTCCACCCCCCCCCCCCCCCACTCCCCAACCTTCCCCCCTCCCCACCCGTCAGCATAAACCAAACCACGGATGAATAAATCTTTATTTGTGCTCATTTCATCCCAATCACTCAACCATATGGGAGCCGCGTGCTATAACAGAGACTATCCAGCGGGTCCAAGCGTCGCGGGTTCAAATTCGCGTGCAGCCGGAATTTGTTCAAACATGAAAGTGGCTCCCAGATCGACCCAGCCTTACATGGTTTAAGGTTGTGTCCTTGGAAGTAAAGGCAACCGACGTGATGCTGAACACTACACATTGAGCGCCGATTGATCTATAAAATCTAGGCCTAGCAATATATGCCCAGTACGCATAAAGGTGTGGAGAATGTCCTTTACTTTTTACACATACCTTTCCCGGGAGTCGACCGAGATGACTCCATGCAGTTAGCGGCATCTGACGGAATATGTGGCTTTAACGCCAACTCCATCCAGCACTTACAGAGATTTTAAATCTTGTCTCGCCTGTCCCTATTTGTAGTTTATTTACTTTAAAATGTATTCAAATAACTCTTGACCTTTTGCGTGCTCCTACTCACGCCCTTTGACCGTCTCGTCTGCGTCTCCTGTACGCGGACTCGCCATTAAACACACTCGTTGGATTCCTGCCTCGACCTTTAGCCCTGATTACGCAAACCAGGTCACAGCCGGGTAACTACGGTCACTTGTGTAAGGGAATCATCACCCCAGGTTTACATTCTGGTTTATAAGCCTCATAAGCCTCGTTTATGTTTCCGCTTTTACAAAGAAGCCGCTTTGGTAAAAGTGCAGTGACGAAGAGTGAGTGTTTAAGCGTTAGCTGGTTATGATTATACAGGAGATGGTATCACGTGATATTTTCCTCATCGTCGCTTCACTGTTCAGAAAATACGTTTGCAGCTAACATCTAGTAACTGGTAGTTTTTCACGCGTTACAGTTGATGTATAAATACAGCGAGCGTTCTTTTCGCTATGTTACTACTCTTATCAGGCGTTACGTGCTTGGCGAAATGTAAATCAAGTGGCGTATTTGTGACAAATAGTTGACAGTAATAATAAATAGCAAACAAACGCATTTTTCTTTTGGAATGGAGAGTGTAAGCAGCAAACTAAAGTCGTTACATGTACGCCTTGCCACTGGGTACAAAACGCCTTGCCACTGGGAACAAGGCACAATAAGGCCTATAGCGTCTGTCGGGGATGTGGACAGAGAGACTTCTACTTTCGGAATAAAACGTGTACTGCATTACTAGCCTTCGCTTTAGGCACTATAACCCGTCGAGAAAGCCCAGATCGGGGAGAAACAACTGCTAGATGAAGAATGCATTATCTTAACGCTGTCTGTGGTTTGCGTTCAGCGGCTGTGAACTGTGGTAAACGTTCTGGTACTTCGTTCCTTTTTTGGACTTTGGTCTTGTTTTAAGAACTTGAGTTGTGCGTGCACATCCGTTTTACATAAATGAATTCTTTGTAGGAGATTTCAGAAAAGGTTTTAGTGAAGGAACTGTGCCAAAGAAATGAAACGATGTAGCTCCTGCTTCGCCTCTGAATAAATGTTTGATAGACTCATTAAAGAAATAGCAAGCAACCGCGACCTAGCAAGAAACCAGATAAGAACAAGCCGGCTATTTCGCGTTCGACTTTCAACGTCACCTGACGGGACATCTTAGATTTGTTGAGCCGCTAGCAAAACAAAACAGAAATAACTGGCGGTTCCTGTTGGCTCTATGAGTCATTAGGATGCCAAGTGTACGTTTGTGAGGACCAAACTAGCACACACACACACACTCAATAATACATCATTTGTCTTCCTCATATATGAACACAGATTGCCAATCCCGGTATACCATTATCGCCCTCCAGAAATTTGCATTATGAAAGTAGGATTAAAATCTCACGGATGACAATCGAACCCCATTCACCCGTATAATACAGCTGCTATACTGGAAACCCGATGGTCACGACATAACCATTGTTCGAAATCCGACCGCTTTGCGTTGATTTCGGCAACAAAATGAGTATTACATCGTTCAGCTAGCAATGGCGAACTACTGGACA